TGGACAAGTCCGCAATCGAGCGCATTCCACCGGGAGAGGAACAGGCGGGATTTTACTCCACGTACTTCCTCGTCCCGAAGAAAGACGGGCGGTTCCGTCCGATTCTCAACCTCAAGGGGTTGAATCGCATGCTCGAAGTACCATCCTTCAAGATGGAGACACTGCGCTCGGTGATCTCATCTGTTCAGCCCGGCGATTGGCTCACGTCAATCGACCTAAAGGATGCGTATCTGCATGTGCCCATACATCCCTCGTTCAAGCAGTACCTTCGGTTCTCTTACGACGGGATGTGTGTACCACCACGGTGCTCCCCTTCGCCTATCCACTCGACTGCCCCAAGGGTGTTCACCAAGCTCATGTTAGTCCCGCTACCCACGCTCGCAAGGAAGGCATTGTTACCCTTACCTCGACGACTGGTTGCTCGGAGCACTAACACAGCCAGCCAGCAGTCTAGATGCTACTCACACAGTGATAGACATTCTAACTTCGACTGGGGTGGATAATCAACCTCAAGAAATCCGACCTGGTACCCACCCAGGACTTGGTTTTTCTTGGAGCGCGATTCCAAACGAACAAGGATCTCGTTTCCTTGTCGCCCGACTGGATCACCAGAGTTCGGGAGATGGTATCTTCGTTCCTCTCCCAGCCCCAGGCACCAGCACGGACTTGGCTCCGTCTACTGGGCCATATGGCGGCGACGATCTCTGTAGTGTGGCGGGTGCGGTTGAGGATGCGTCCTATACAGCAACCTTTGGCTCGGCTGTGGACTCACACGGAGGATCTGGAGCGCAGTCTCACAGTCCCCGAGTGGTTGACACCTCACCTTCAGTGGTGGACCAATGTCGGGAATCTCACCAGGGGGGATGTTCTGGGCAGTCTGTCGGTGTCCGGACTCTGGTCCGAAGCCGAAGCCCACCTTCACATCAACGTGTTGGAACTGAGAGCTATGCAGTTGGTTTGAGCGCTTCCGAGAGCATGTCCAGGGCCAGGTGGTTCGTCTTCAGTTGGACAACCAGACGGCCCTGTCGTACATCCTGAAACAAGGCGGCACGGTGTCCCAACGCTCCTCCGGGAGACATGGGACTTTCTCCTCTGGTGCGACCAGTGCGATTGTCAGGTACTCCTGTTTATCTCCCGGGGCTGGAGAACGTGCGAGCAGACGCTCTCTCTCGCCGGATCCTGGCCCCGCACGAGTGGATGCTAGACTGGCAGATATTCGGAGTTATCTCCCAGTTGTACGGGTCGTTCCAGGTGGATCTGTTTGCGTCCGGCGGGACGAATCAGACACCCGTGTTCTGCTCTCGAATACCGGACCCGAGGGCGTTGGCTGCCGACGCCTTCCTGCTGGATTGGACGGGCAAAGTGCTCTGGGCGTTCCCGCCGTTACCACTCATTCCCCGTGTCCTTTCACAGCTGTCCACCCAGCCAGCTCGGCTGCTTGTGCTACTGGCACCGCTTTGGCCGTCACAGAGCTGGTTTCCGGTAATTCTCAGGTTTCTGGCTCAGCCTCCTGTTCTATTACCTTTTACGACCGGACATTCTCACTCAGAACGGAGCGCCACCCCCAATCCAAGGATTCAGTGGGTGGCTTGGCCTCTGTCAGGTCTAGCCTCGAGGCACGCTGGAATTCCTGCAGCAGTTGCAGACAATTCTGGCTTCGGTATGGATTCGACAAACGTTCAGTATGAGGATAGGTGGTCCCGCTATGCGCGCTGGTGTTCAGATAGGGGGATTGCAGATCCCTTTTCTGCGGATTTAGTCAGAGTATTGGAGTTTTTGCAAGCTCGTTTGGAAGAAGGCCTGGCGGCTTCTACCATTCGTGGCTACTCCACCGCTATTTCCACTTTTCACACCCCTGTCGATGGTGCTCTTCTGGGGCAGCACCCTCTCATACAGCGCTTTCTCGCTGGCGTGGAACGGGTTCGACCTGCTCTCAGTCGTACCAGTCCACCTTGGGATTTGTCAATTGTGCTCGATTGGCTGTCCGGTCCCACTTTCTCACACCTATCGGCTATGTCCATTCAGTTGTTAACTTGGAATGCTGTTTTTCTGGTGGAGGTAACATCTGGACGTAGGGTCGGCGATTTACATGCTATGTCGTCCGACCCGGCGCTGACTGTTTCACACTGATCGTGTCAGTATTCGCCTCCCGGATACTTGCCGCCCGAAGGTCGATCACGCTTTCCATGTGACTGCTCCTATCGAACTTCCCACTCTTACCCAGCCTTCCACATCGGGGACCTCTCCTACGAGCACTCACCCGTTGGATGTCCGTAAGACACTCAAGGTCTATATCAAACGAACGCAGGGAATCCGTACGGGTACCCAGCTGTTCTGTTACGGTGGCGGGAAGGCTGGTGTGCCAGCGAGCAAGCAGACTTTCCCTCGCTGGTTTGTTTCTTGTATTTGTGCCGCTTATCAGGCTAAGGGCAAGCCTCCCCCTGAGGGGTTGAAGGCTCACTCGGTCAGGGCAGTAGCCGCATCAAAAGCTTTTGCATCGGCACTCCCCATTGAAGAGATCTGCTCTGCCGCTATTTGGAGCCGGCCAAGCACGTTTATAGCGGCACTATCAGCTCGATACACATTCCCGTAATCGTGCGAGCTTTGGCCGTTCTGTTCTCTCCAGTGGACAGTGTCCTGCCACCCTGACCGAGTGAGTCTTGGTTTATTGGTTTGTTTATTGACGCTGCTGTACAATAATGTGTGTTATTGCCATATCCGCTCCTAGGAGCTAACTACCCCCTTTCGATTCTCTCAGGAGTAATTAGTCGATTGTGAGCGGTTTTGACATTCCCCCCTACGGTGCTCACTAATCGACACGTGGTGGGTGGGGCTTTGTTGACATTCGTACCATGTGCGATTGCCTATGCTAACATATGGAGGTTGTCTTTGAGCACAAATCCTCCCTGTCAGTTCCCCTCCCATAATGCCTCTCGCGGAAGCGAAACTGGGACATGTGACAGGTGAGTGTTATGGCGTCTGTTCAATTTTTTCCCATTAACGATAGCTATTTGTGTGTGCTTGGACAGAATTCCCACCTCCCTGGCCTCCGGTCTTTGGGAGTCTGTGTTTATGCATAATATGTACCCCAAGGACGATCTCTATGAAGAAGAATTAACCAAACCTGAAGAGGTTTTAAATTCTTCGAAGAGAGTCGTCCTTGGGGTAGGGCCTCCCGCCTCCCCGCAATTCTGTTCACTGATTTATTCAGCAGAAGGAATGATGATACGGGCCTAGGTGATTACCCAGTTGGTGCGCATGCGCAACGGGAGGTAACTCCACGAGGTGGGGGCCGTATAATAAATAAAAAAGTTTATTTATTGTACAATCTTTTTATTCAAAAACATTGATACAACTGTCACAGGACATTTTCAGCGTGGAAAATGCATAATATGTACCCCAAGGACGACTCTTCGAAGAATTGAAAACCTCTTCAGGTTTGGTTAAGTTTTACGTCACACTCAGCAATATTCCAGCTATATGGCGGCGGTCTGTAAATAATCGAGTCAGGACCAGACAATCCAGTGATCAACAGCATGAGCATCGATATGTGCAATTGGGAACCGATGACATGTGTCAACCAAGTCAGAGGGCCTGACCACCCGATCCCGTTAGTTGCCTCTTACGACAAGCATGGGTTACTGAAGAACAATATTCTAACTCAGACCTTCATGGGTGGAAACAGTTATGAACTTCAATGACAATATTTAATATATTACACTGACATGTATTTGAAGCAGGTGCTCATTTGTTTTGCTGACTAATACAACGAATTCTGTATGACAGAAGATAACATTTTGAGGACCATTCTGCACTCAGGTCACACAAGATACCTTTCACGAAAGTATTTTTCAGGTTGTGCGCGTTCAGAAACGTAAAAAAAATTATAAAAAAATACTGATAATGGTCCAACAGATTACAATTGACTTGACGTTTGGCATGATCACACAGATATTACAAATGATAAATAAAATGCATATAATATTTTCATTGGATTTTATTGCACAAGTACATACCTACCAACACAAAACAAACCATCAAGTTATAATACATGCGATACATGAGGAATTGAGCACTGACAATAACAGGGACGATTGCTATTGTTTTGTTTGCACAAACACTGATTTGGAGCTTAGATTTGGGGCTTTATTCCTTTGTTTTCTAAAATTAAAAACTTTTAGAATTTTCAGGTGTGAGCGAGAAATGTAAAGATTTATTTCGTTTAGTTTTGCTCAATTTATTTTTGTTGATTAATAAATTGTATTTATTTAGTAGATTTGAATTGTGTTATTCTGCACGAACCCTTAGCAATGCTACCAACCATCAATGAACCATAAAATAAGGTTTATGAAATGTTCCGGACTGAATATTCAGTTAAGATCTACAAAAATTACAATGCAAAGTCTATAAACAGACCATTTTAGAACATTGAACCTTGTCAAGGACAAACCTTACCGTCACTGGGCGACCTACCTCAACCGAGGTGCTTATTACAATAACTAACTTGATCAAGTCAAAGCTCTTGAAAATCTATACTGTAAACAGGTCTTTACGCAAAAGAAAGCCACAAGAATCAACATCCCAGAGGTGATATAGCTACAGATTTGGTGACACCAAAAATGAATAACTTGTGACATGGGTTTTGATTGTTACAAACAATAGTTATTTCCAGTTCATTACTAATTTGAACATGTTTACTTGGTAGTATATATTTGACGACTTTTATTGGTGTTTATTCGTCTGCTAAACGAATACAAATGAAAACGCCATCAGAAAGAGATGATTGAGCATTCTCACAGAATTGGTGCACAGCGAGCGCCTGGTAAACTGCACTCGATCCCATTTCTTCACTCCGACATTAATGAAAACATAATGCCTTCTCGCATGCAATATTTCAGATCCCAGTACACTCAAGACATTTTCGTGCTTATCAACTGAAGGAGACTTAATACTATAGTCAACATGTACGACAACAGATGATAAAAGCATAATTATCTAACCTTGAATTCCACCTGTGTGGACCTGTTGAACCCTTGTGTTCTCTGAGACTTGAATACTCCTCTGGTTGCTGTTCCTCAGCTTGCCGACCACTGACAGTGGCACGATATATGCGAGTGTCAGCCGGGTACCAGTTCCGCCTGTGCTTGGGGTGCGTTTGAGCAAGACATTTTTATTTCAGAAACAATCCCGAAAACGTCAATGTTCACTGACAGGCGAACATCGTATTACACATGTTACAGAGCCTCTTAAATATGCCAAAATGAAAAAAATGGAGGAATTACCAAAACAAGATATTGTTTAAAGAACATTATTGCAATCACCATGTATTCATGTTTGTGAATATAACAGTTACATAAAAACACGATTGGAGTTTAAAAAATATGAGTGACCAGAAGCCGTGTCTGATCGGCCTTGAGTTATGTTATCTGGGCTGACGGTAACAAAGACTATATGTCGATATATGATTTTTGCCTGCCTGTATCCTGACCCAACCTGGCATGTGACCCCTTTCTGGTATATGGATTGCCTAAAATAAGGATAGGGTGGTTTTACTGAGTGACCTGGGTCAAGTTGTGTCACCGTGACCTTCCGGTGGTACATGTTGTTCATGCTATCAACCGCAGGCCATCTATAGCTGGACCATGGTCAGACTAGGTCATTTATTCGCAGCCGTAATCTGTGAAGGTAATGAGCCACTTTATAAACCAGTACGTGTTCACCTTAAGATTATGAACCCGGCGTGATATTGCTGGAATATTGCTAAATGCGGCGTAAGTCCCAGCTCACTCACTAAGACTGACTGACTGACTGAGTTTGGTTTTACGCCGCTTTCAGCAATATTCCAGCAATATCACGGCGGGGAACACCAGAAATGGGCTTCACACATTGTGCCCATGTGGGGATTCGAACCCGGGTCTTCGGCGTGACGAGCCAACGCTTTAACCACTAGACTACCCCACCGCCCCTCACTCACTAAGAGGGGCGGTTGGCTGGCCTAGTGGTTAAAGCGTACGGTCGTCACGCCGAAGGCCCATGTTCGATTCCCCTCAAGGGTACAATGTTTGAAGCCCATTTATGGTGTCTCCGCCGTGATATTTCTGGATTATTGCTAAAAGCGGCGTAAGATCCAACTCACTCACTAAGATTATGAAGAACAAAAACGGTCGCCCGAACACAACCTGGATATAATACGTGGTAGCACGAGCAGCACGCTCCGGTCGAGCTCGTGCAGGAAGATGAACACAGGAAGGAAATCCGTGCCTTCTCCAGAGATTTGAGCAAAGTTTAACAGAAGCAAGGCTTTGAAGCATTGTTCGCTTTCAAATGGCAAAATGGATTTTGCAAGAACTGCCTTTGCTATGTTCAGAGAGAAGAATTGACACCTGTATTTAAGTTCTCCTAATTAATGCGGACAAAGCGTTAATATTTCGTTGACACACTGTAATAAATAAAACTTATTTTGTTTCATATAAACAGGTGTCACTTAAATTCTGGTATACAAAGGCAACTGTACAAAAATATAATTTTCCAGTCCTGACATGTCATTAAATATTATAAAGGTTGTTCATGTTGACCACCTCACAAAAGAATCGGTGGGGTAGCCTAGTGGTTAGAGCGTTCGCTTGTCACCCCATGAGTACAATGTGTGAAGCCCATTCCTGGTGTGGTGTCCCCAGCCGTGATATTGTTGGAATATTGCTAAAACAGCGTAAAACTAAACTCACTCACTCAATAAAGAAATCAATCATGGTTTATATAGTGCCGAGTCACCAACCAATAGCACGCAACGATTTCCACACCTGTCAATCTTCACAATCGCTAAAACAGCATTGCTCAAAAGAAATTGCGGATGACCAGGTTATTTCATGTTACTATGTCATTTGTAAACGCAGATGTACCGAAAATATGAGTTCGTTAGCATTTTTTTGAGTAGGCCTAATATGTGTACAAAACGTAAACAATGGTAATTCTTCCACCACATTTAGCCCACAGGCCCCCCTTTTTGCGCGAATATATCGTCATCCATTTGTGTCAAGATCGTTTAGTTGAGGGTCAAAATGGGGTTTCAATCGACTTGCAGAAATAACAATAAAGAATTGGTAGGTGTCATGAGTGGTGCTCGATAGGCCAATCATCTATGGTTATGTTCACATTAAGTTTTAATCGATAGCATGCGGTGGTAGCATAGGGATCGGCAAAGCAGTCGGGTTGGGTACATCAAAGTGTCCGGCCTTGTCATAATGTATTGTTCTGTGAAGCATTTCGAGTCGGGGGGTTATCTAAAATTTATATATATATTTTTATAAATCTTTAATCTTTGCAAAGACACGAGGTTCTATGATTTAGCTCTGTCCTCTTTCCTGCCTCTCACAGTCCAGTAGGCACGTGGGGAAGATCGATGCTCATGATGTTAATCATTGGATTATCTGGTCGATTATTTACACTAAATTACAGACTGCAAAGCTGCTTGGAGCGGTGTCAAATATAAAGCAAAACAAACCGTTGTATCTATCCTTCTTTACCTTCTGCGGGCTAGTGGTTAAAGCGTTCGCTCGTCACGCTGAAGACCCGGGTTCGATTCCCTGTATGGGTCAATGTGTGAAGCCAGTTTCTGGTGTCCCCCGCCGTGATATTGCTGCATGGAATATTGCTAAAAGCGGCGTAAAACAAAACTCACGTGTTGGACGTAGTCTCATAAAGGAGGGGTGGGTTTCGTTTCCGGAGCTTAACTCAAAAACCGTTTATGTCATTTATCGCTCCCCAAAGTCCATTTCCTATCTATCCTTTATGCCACTGGAATCACCAGTTTCAAATTTTGCACACAGTAACACATCTGCTATGTATATATATAATGTCTACAAATCTGCCATGTCTATAAATGTCTAGTATTTATCTGAATAAAAAAAGAAGAAATATATAAATCTAAAAATATAATATACACTAACCCTACTCAGACAAACAGCATTCGGTCATATATTGACTATAACACATTCTCACAACTTATTTCAACCGAAGATTACATACGTGCATACATCATATATTCACAACAACATATTCACAAGGCGGGTACACACATGGACAGAGCAAAGGCAAGGAAGGATCTAAAATACACACTAGAGTGAGGATACCATGGATACAGATATTTACAAAATAGGACAATCATACATGTCCATGAGTATGTGTTCAGTAACCTGTATTTCGCCTCCAGAAAAGAGAGACAGCATTTCATCTTCTCGGATATTCAATATGACATTATCCAGAATTGGAATTTTTAAAGTTGTAATTAATTCACTTATATACTGAGTCAAAAAAGAAACTTCACAAAATGTCATTTGAAAAATAATGAATAATTTTTCTCTGATGATACATCTATGTATCCGAAATGGGATCCATATCTTTCGACTCTAGAAAAACTTTAGCAAAACCCAGTCAAACCCATCCATTCGTCGTGCAAATGACCTTAGTGCCAAATCAGGTTTTGCACGTGCAGTCGATCACGTGATCTTCGCATCGAAGTTTTCTTGATATGCACGTGTTTGCATTGGCCTCAAGAATTGAAAAAACACTTTTAAACCACAGTTCTAACGGTACTTGAAATGCCACGATTGTCAAATGTGCAACGTGAACGTGCCGTTGGCATGTTGCAAGCGGGAAGATCAGTTATTGACGTCGCAAGAGCAATGGGATGCAGGCGTCGTACTGTGTATGACTTGCGAGGTCGTCTACAACAAACTGGCACCACTTCTGATCGCCCAAGGTCGGGACGTCAACGTGTGACGTCGCGAGCAGAAGACCGTCAAATCGTCCTACGTCACCTACGTGACATATTTCTGCCGGCTACAAGAACCAGGGCTGAGATGTTTAGAGGTCGACTGTCCTCACAGACCATTCGAAATCGGTTGCGGGCTGCCAATCTATATTCTCGACGTTCATATCGTGGGCCAATATTGACGCCGTTTCAGCAACGTCAACGTCTGCTGTGGGCCCAACGTCACCTCCGATGGACCCAGAGAGACTGGAATCGAGTCGTCTTTAGCGATGAATCCAGGTTTACCCTCAGATTCGCGGAGGGCAGGCATAGAGTCTGGAGACGACGTCGTGAACGGTATTCCCAATGTTGTGTACAGGAAGTCGACAGATTCGGGGGCGGAAGTTGCATGGTGTGGGGTGCTTTCTGTGGGAACAACCGTTCCCGACTTCTGGTCATCCGTGGAAACCTCACAGCTGCTGCTTACCGCGACCAGGTCCTCACCCCTGAACTCGTTCCTTTCATGGCGGCTCATGGCCCAGGTGTACAGTTCAAGCATGATAATGCTCGGCCGCATACCGCGATGTTGACACGTAATTTCCTTCAAAACGCTGGAATCAACGTCATGGACTGGCCATCGAGGTCCCCTGACCTTAATCCAATAGAGCACGTTTGGGATGCACTTGGGAGAAGGCTTCGTGGTCTTAGGAACCAACCTCATAATTTGCAGGAACTTGGCGCTGCCTTGCAAGAGCAATGGCGCAGAATCCCCAACCACGTGTTGACAAGCATCAGGCAGTCGATGAGGAGACGGTGTTTGGCAGTGGTGAATGCGCGGGGCGGCCATACACGATATTGAACTGAGAAATTTCGCATTTTTATTCTTGTGACTTGACATTCTGTATACCCATGTATTGGAATGGCGGTGTAGCCTAATGGAACTGATTATGGCACTGTCAGTGTATCGAGTACATCACACAGATCTCAGCAATGAAATAATAACAATTTAACCATCTTACCATCTCTTGTTATTTTATAGTGCCCTGGAGAAAGAATGTGAAGTTTCTTTTTTTGACTCAGTGTATATAATTCATTCATTCATTTTCTTCCTGTATGCAAAATCTCAGAACGGACCTACACTAACACTGGTTAAGGAATGACGTTTCTGGGGTTCACAGGGCAAATTGATCCGTATAAACCAGGTGTACCTAGCCTCCCAATAAACCTGATAACCCCAGCTCACTGCAGGTGTTGGAAAGCTAGAACGTGACCTTGTATCTACCTTCATCACACCGTACGAGCGGTGAACGGCAGGAAATATTTCATAGCAAGGAAGTAAACGATTTATCACGCGAGAGGTGACCAGGTT